CACGAACGTGGTTGCTGAGTGCCTTGGCAACAAGCAGCCTGCACACACTCCTTGTGCCTGCCCTGACCCCACAAGGGTTACTCTGACATAACCAGTATCTCTGCAGCCATCATAATAACCATTTACCCCCAAAAAACCATCACAGAATCACAGAATCATAGAGCACCTTGGGTTGGAGGGATTACTAAAGATCATCTAATCCAACCCCCCTGCAATGAGCAGGAGCATCTTCAACTAGATCAGCTTGCTCAGAGCCCCATCCAGTCTAACCTTGGATGTTTCCAGGGATGGGGCATCCACCACCTCTCTGGGCAACTTGTTCCAGTGCCTCACCACTCTCATGGGGAATAATTTCTTCCTAATATCCAATCTAAATCTACTCATTCAGTCTAAAGTCATCATTCCTTGTCCTATCACAACAGGTCCTGTTAGAAGGTTCCCCTCCAGCTCTCTTGCAGGCTCCCTTTAGGTACTGGAAGGCTGTTATAAGATATAGCCAAAGCTTCCCCAGCTCCCTCAGGGTGTCTCCATAGAGGTGCTCCAGCCTTCTGAGCATCTCTGTGGCCCTCTTTCACGCTCACTCCAACAGATCCATGCCTTTCCTGTCTGAGGACCCCAGAGCTGGATGCAGCACTGCAGTTGAGGTGTCTGTCATGACAGCAGAGTAGATTAGAATTCAACCTATTGCCCCCTCTTCTTTTGATACAGTCCAGGATAGAATTGGCTTTCTGGGCTCCAAGTGCAGCTCAGAAATACGTAACTCCAGAACACATTATTCCTACACACTTGCATTCAGTAACATAATGTTCTTCTCTGGAAGGACAAACACCTTCAAGGCAACTGAGGACATGAGTGGAATAATCATCCTCTTCATGACTTCTGGCAACTCTAAGTACCTCTTGCTTTCATGGCTCACAAAATGGCACATGGTTACCACAAGCAAATGCTTCACTGCTACTTAAGTAACTGCAGGGTGACCATGAAGACAAAGCCCCACTGGACATCTCCAAAATTTGCCTTAAGGTGTGATTCAGCTACTAGCCCAGGAACCCAATGGCCTGCTACCTTCCAAACATCTTCAAAAGAGCAACTTCTTGAGGCACTTGATGTAAATCAGTGCTGCTCTCAAAAAAGCAGCCTGTTTGCCCCCACATCACGGCCAGGAAGCAGCTTTTTGTGCAATGCTAACTTTCAGCTGCATCAGGCAGCACAGCTAGTGATACAGAGAAGGCAGGATTGCACAGCAAAGAAGAGGAAGGCCTGGGCCACCTCTGGTGTCAGCAGGCCACCTTAGGACAGTTTAAGCTGGTATCTATGGATGTGACCAGGCAGAGCAGCCTCTGCTCGTCAGTAACAACTGTTACAGACAGACAGCAGAGCCTTTGCAAACACCCTGGGCAGAGCAGGCAGCCCTTGGGAGATGCTGAATTCACCAGGAGTTTAGTTATCTGTCCATGGTGGTCATCAACCTAAAGTGGGTGTCATCCACATCCCCTAACAAATGTATATCTATTTCTTAGGACAGGCTGTCACAGCTTTTGCAGGCAGTTGCTTTTCCACAAGGCTACATAAACACCCTACAGTATAGGAATAACTTACACCGCCAAGAGGTGCTAAAGGTAGGAAATTCCACCCTTGTGTGATGGTTTCCTCCTTCTAGGGAGTATAGCCCAAAATTGTGTCAGAAGTGACAAGACCCATGTACAAAGGGATCAGTGAAGTGTTCTGATGAAGGAATAACCACTGGAGAACTCAGTGAGCCAGGCTCCTGTCTGCACTGTTGTGATGTGAGTACTCCCTGTCTGCTGCTTCATGTCCTGTACACACTGGCCTCTTTCCTGCTCCTGGACTGGTAGGAGTTGTGCCTGGCCTAACCTTTAAACACAGAGGTGAAGGGTGAGAGAAAAAAAGATGCTGTCAAAGACCAATCCAAACCATTGACCAACTGTCGGTTCTGGGTTGGAGAAGCATACAGCTAAGGATTCTACACCTTACTGATCAGTGCTAGTAAAAATAAGAACTGCATAAACATAGGAAAAGTTCAAACAGCTGAGAGCAAGTGGCAACCAGCACGCAATGATGGACAGGACTGACCATGCATAGGCAGGTCTGCCAAGGGTCCCCAGCTCCAGTCATCATTATGGAAACAAGAATGTTTTGATATCTCAGCTGTGCCCTTTAGGGTCAGAAATTCAAGACAGCAATTCCAAACTTGCACATACAAGATGCCTGGCTTCCAGAAACAGCAGTGTCCCTGTTAATGGAGAGAGGCATGCACACAGGGCATTTTGCTGTACCACCTTCCCTGTATGCACACTGGCAGAATACAGTGGAAGATGCTCTGGGATGTGCCTCTGCTGGGCCAGGTGTACCAAGGGTTTAAATAAAAGTGGGTCCAGCTCTTGCAGCAAGTCACATTGGCAGGGCAGTGGGCATATTCAAGCAACTCCACATTCCCTTATGTCACCTGCTCACAGAGCCTTAACTTTCTTGATCAACTTAAAGGCTAAAACCAGCATTTCAGTGGGCCGGAAGTAGCTACCCTCATTTTTATTTGAGCCCAGGATTTGAAAAAGAAGACCCTAGTCCCGGAGCCATCAGAGCACACGAGGGTAAAAGCAGCAGAAGTACAAGGCCCACACTTCAAGAGCCCTGCCCTCCACAGGTGCTGGAGGACATCACCCCATGCCCTCTGCACACCCTGGCACCTCAGGTCCTATGGGACACGAGGGAAAGATGGATGCATGCTTCAGGCCATCCCAAGTGTCCCTCTTCCTTAAGCTAAGCAGGCTCCAGCTTCAGCATCTTCACTCATCTGAAGCTCCGACAAGCAGCCCTGTGTACTTCTAAATCCACAAAATTAATAGGAATTAATTTTGGAGCAGCCTCTGAAGGGCAAGAAGCAGAGCTGTGAGGTGCAGAAGTAAAGCAGAGTAATGACCACATACACGGAGAGAGGGAAAAAAATGGAATTGTATTGTTTATTCTGGATATTTGGGAAAAGGATAAATGACACATAGGGAAAACCATGTACTTCTCCTTAGCCTATTCTTGACTATCAGACAGAAGAGGTTCTGTTCGTGTACTTTGCTCTCCACCCTCTTAATTCTTTCAAAGCAAAAAAGATCCTTCCATTCTTTTCCTTCAAAATATGAGCTGCTGCAGGCCAGGCCAGGCCACCCCATCAGCAGTAAAAGCAGTAGTGTCTCTTTTTCACCACTGTGCCCTTGTTAATCTCACACATCAGATTTCTTGTTACATTCCTCAGTATCTGTCACTGCTTAATTTTTAAATCAACAAAAATAAAACTGGACGTTACAAGCTTTTCCAAGGGCAGATTAAGTCAATCATTTTTGTTTTCGCATCATATGGCAAATGTCCTATGTTTGCATCTCTACATACATAATATACATTAATTTTAAAAAGACCAAACTACTCACAATTCGAGTGACTCCTACTGATCTTTTTTAAATGGACAGCAAATGTTGAGTCAGTGTTCTGTGAATTCAGAGCTCTGCCTGCAATGTCTACAAAGATGACAAAACAGAGATAGATTGGGACTGTTGGGCAGGACTGAGATTTGTTTCTAATCCACGGGAGATTTAAAAGAGCTCATGCAAATGTGCAGTAGCACTTTTCAGCTAGTGAAACATGAAAATTGGTTGTGTGAAAGTACATTGTTTCCAAAATCCCACAAACACAGCAAAAAAAATAGTAACAGAAAATTCAAATGGACATAAATTTCAGTATGTGAAAAAGACCATTTTATTCAGCATAGGATTAAAAAAACCCCAAACACATAATATTTAATAAGGTCTGAAGATATCTCATGCCTCGTAAGTCAGGACACACTATTTTTTAGATTCAAGAGCAGTATTACACATCTCTCATCCTTGTTATACTTCATTGCCAAGATAGAAAAGGTCCTAAATTCAACCTGCCCTGCAATTCACTACTTAGTAGGGAGAGCCATGTCTTCTTGCAGCAAAATATATTTTTACAGTATCCTGGAGAACTGTACCTCTGTCCTAAGTCACTTGGCACTATTTACCTTTTCTCATCCTCACTGCAGGTACAGTTACACACCTAAGGGGCCACTTCTAGCATGTTTAAGTGATTTGAGCACAGTGTATCCCGGCCCTCTCATCCTTGTTATACTTCATTGCCAAGATAGAAAAGGTCCTAAATTCAACCTGCCCTGCAATTCACTACTTAGTAGGGAGAGCCATGTCTTCTTGCAGCAAAATATATTTTTACAGTATCCTGGAGAACTGTACCTCTGTCCTAAGTCACTTGGCACTATTTACCTTTTCTCATCCTCACTGCAGGTACAGTTAACACACCTAAGGGGCCACTTCCAGCATGTTTAAGTGATTTGAGCACAGGGTACCCCGGCTGAACCCGCTGGGCTGTGCCCGCTGCTGCTCCGCCCGGCCTCACAGGAGGCCATTTTCCAGAGCACTTCCCAATCAATTCTCCTCCACCTCCCGCTCCCGCTGCCACCCGGGGACTTTTCGCCCAGCTGCACAAATCACCTTTCCCCCGTCCCATTCCCGCACCCTGGCATGCTCCCCTGACAATCGGAGGGGGATACACATCCCCACATCCACCACGCTGGCCGCGGCCCGCCAAGGATCCCGCAACCTCCTTCTCCCACTGGGCGCCTTTGCAGCTCCCAGCCCCTGCCGCTTTTAGCCTTTAACAGCTGGGCCCAGCCCGACCGCGGCAGGGCCTATGGCGCCCGGCACGCCGGAGCGTGGCGCGGCCGCGTGTTCCCGGGGCCGCGTGCTCCCGCCGGAATCCGCGCGGATTGATTCCCGGGGCCGCGTGTTCCTGGGGCCGCGTGCTCCCGCCGGAATCCGTGCGGATTGATTCCCGGGGCCGCGTGCTCCCGCCGGGATCCGCGCGGATTGATTCCCGGGGCCGCCCTCAGCCCCGCCCGGCCCAGGCGCGCGCCCCCCCCCGGCCGCGTGCCCGCGCGCGCGCGCCCCCCGCGCCGTGACCCATTTCGCCGAACAAAGGATTCGCGCTGGAGCCTCGCTCAGCGCCGGGACCTAAAATGGCGCCGGCGCGGCCGCCCCCGCCCCTTCCGCGGGCGCCACAGAGACGGGGCGGGCGGAGCGGCCTCCCCGCGGCGGCGCTCTGTACGCGGGCGCAGCCCCGGCTCGCTGGTGCGGGCGGGGAGGCGCTGCCGCGGCATGGCGGGCGAGGGCGACTCTGAGCCGGGGAAGGTAACGGAGGGCGGGGGGGCGGCGAGGGGCGCGGAGGAGAACGAGAATGATCATGAGGAGGAGGAGGATGATGAGGAGGAGGTGCGCGGCACGCGGCAGCCCCGCGCTGGGGACACGGGAGGTCAGCGCAGCGCAGCAGGGAGCGTCCCGCCACCGCCCGGCACGCTGCTCCTCCGCCCGAGGAAATACTCGGGAACAATACCCGGAAAGCCGGGGCCCAGCTGGGGCTCTGCGGGGCCCCTGGGCGGGGCGGGCTGGTCGTGCTGCCCCGGGCCCTCCGCGGGGCTTTCCTCGCTGGTGAAACACCGTGGTGAGGGCGGAGGGTCCGCGGGGCCGGTGGTCAGCAGTGGTCAGACATAACAAATGATGCCCGGCCTGGCAGCAGGTGAGACGCTATTTTAAAAGGATGCATCACGCTGCAGATATCAAGTGACTTCTTCCATATGAGAGCAATTGAAATTACTCATTAGGAGGTTCGACCAACACAGAGCACGTCCTTTCTGTCTCGCTTGTACACAGGGACAGCTGATGGCTGTCCCTAGGGAGCATGGATAAAACTAACGCTGGGGATTTCCATGCCTGCCATCCCCTTTACCACAGTGGCACAATTACTTCTCTCACAGAGCTGTAAACCCTCCATAAGCAGTTGAGTACTGTAGTACTCCGTCTTTAAAATCTACTTTGGCCAAGTGGAATACCTTCACAACAAAATAAAACAATTCACCTTTGGTGAATTTTGCTACAGTTGCACACATGATTCTTCATGCTCTCATGATTTAAGCACAGTAGACTGAAAGGTGTTGTCACATCATCCCTGACCAAAGGATTAACAGCAGAAAAATGTGCAGGTGCTACTGAGAGGCAGCCACCTTGACCCTGACCCATGTGTCCAGCCCCTGCCTAGACATAGGGTTAGGTCATAGTGGTTTATAAATGTTTTTATTCAGTATAAGGTTCTCTACTACATGCTCATTCTCCAGTAACTTAACTTTTTTCAAGCACATCTACTTACTTCAGGTACTAAAATTACATGGCATGACTTACTGCATACTTGATTGTAACCTTCCTTGTTTGTTGTGATGTAACAAAAATCCTGGAATCTTAAAGGTCTTCTCCCTTCCTCCTTGGGGGAATGTAAAGGTAAAAAATTAAGCAGTTCATTTGTAATATTCAGTGGGAGGATGGATCAACAGTTTTGTGCAAAACTAGATTATATAAATTAGTAGTTAACTCTTCCAAAAACATCCCTGATATATCTGTACCTCTTCACTTTTGGTCCTCCCTAATCCTGGATGCAGTAACTTCTCAACTGGTTTTGCTGGACTATTAAGATAACAAGTCAGTTTTACAGTTGAGTTGGCATCATAGACTTCTACAGAAGTGATTTTTTAAATTTATGTTGGTTTTTTTTTTTGTTTTGTTTTGTCTTAGATAACAAGTCAGTTTTACAGTTGAGTTGGCATCATAGACTTCTACAGAAGTGATTTTTTAAATTTATGGGTTTTTTGTTTGTTTTGTTTTGTCTTGCAGTCCTTTAAACTCCTGGGATTTCTCGATGTTAAAAATGTTCCATGTGCACGAGAGTCAGTGCTCTATGGCTCCTTGGGGGCTTTAGTTATGGGTCTTGGACATTTTCTAGCAACTAGTAAGTACTTATTCCTTTTGGGTTTTATATATTTATTTGCAAGCAAAAAACCCTTCTATTTGCTGTTAGGTGTTATTAATAATGGGAAGCCATACAAGTTGTTTTCTCTAACTTTTCAGACGATTTTTTGTTTTTCTTTCAGGCAGAGTCAAAAGATCTTGTGATGTTGCAGTTGGCAGCTATATTTGCACAATGTTAGGATACTGGTATGTAAAATGCTTCTTCAGTTTTCACTGGCCTGTGTTGGTGAATTGTACAACATGATCCCTGTGTTTCAGTTTTCAGAAACAGTGTTTCATGTTGGTTTTGAAACCACAGTAAAAAACCTGCCTAGCAAAGCGTCCTCTTCCTTCTCCCCAAAATACTTTCCTTCTTTAAAGGAAAACATTTCACTGTGTTTGAATGTTTATGTTTATATATATATATATTTTAAATACTTCCTATTGTTTCTTGAATCCTAAACTATCAACTCCCCCACTTATTTCTATTTTTCTTAATTATTTTTTCCTTTTCATACCCCATCCTTGTGTCCTGATTCCAAAGGCAGCATGCTTAATTTTACTAGCATTATCCCATGTGGTTGCAACTTTTCAGCTGCCTGAATGACTCTGGTTTGATACTGCCACTACTATAAAGGAGGGCATTTTGTTTCCTTTTCATCCCCTCCTCTAGGTTTTACTGCAGGTACAACTTGGCCCAGCAAAGGATCCGGCAAAGAATGATTAAAGAAGGAATGAAAAACAGAATTTTATTTGAAGGCAGTTATCTTGATCCACAAAACAAACAAACTGGCAGTGAAAGAAGTGATTCATAGGTTGCTCCGGAAGAGTTGTGGTTTAATACATCTCTGGGAAAAGGTGGTCCAAAAAAAAGTCAGTCTACACTGCAAGCCTGTGAGGTGTCTAAAACTGGTAAAGCATGGTTTTCCTAGCAAACCTGAGCAGGAAATTCATAGTGAATCTGTTAAGTTAGTACAAGCCTTGCTTTGTTTCATGTATGTATGTATGTGACTGCACACATTTGGAATGACGTCCTGTTAAACATCTGGGAGCTGCTGTGTTCTCCTCAGGGTCTCAAAGGATTAACAACAGTGATTTGGGACTGCTTTAACTTCCATTATAAACAGAGTGTGGTTTGTTTTAGCAAAGTTGTAATTACTTCTCATTTAAATAGAGGAAAATATTTTCATCACCTGTTGAGTAAATGCTATTATTAACAGTGCTGTTTGTGAAACAGGAATATTTGAGCAGTAGGAGAAGGCTTTGCTTGTGCAAAGTGGGTGATAGTCAGCAGCCTTTGTAAGATTTCAGCTGCAGGATAACCAGATAACTTACATACATTGTGAAGCTGAAGGATTTCCATCTTTGTTCTGTTTGAAACTATGAATAAAATCACACTTCAGAGCAGTCTGAACTATGTAAGTAAATAATTTTTTACTTCATTTAAAATCTTGCTACTTAAGACACTTCCTTTCTATTTGTGGAGTCATAATCTACATTGTTTGTAAGTAGCAATGTTTGTTTTGGCTTTAATTTTTTTTTAAAGGTATGTTCTACAGTGATTTTTCAGTTAAAAGAAATACCAGTACATAATGTCAAGGAAACCATCTTGTTTGGAAATACAGTGTTAGGTCTAATAGCATATTGGTCAAAAGATGAGTGATGACATCACTTGCTTGCTTCTGCCTGCACGAGTGACACAATGTTTTTATTTTTCCATATAATGATTTATGGTCTGTTATGCTGTAAGCACTTTATCGTCTAAAGGCATGTCACCAAGCAAAAATAGTCCTTTTCCCCCACCCTGTACTTACTCTGAGAGAGTTTGTGATCTGTTGTTAACTCATATTGGTGCAGGGAGGTTTGAACATCCAGATGTTAACAGCAGTATTGCTCCACTTATTTATTTGGAAATATACTTGAGAGCACTGAACAAACATGCTATTTACACTGAGAAAATTAAACTTCTACCCTTTGTGGATTAGCTTCTTATAAGAAGAAAACAAACCTATATACTCTAATTCCTTTTTGCCCTTCTATTCCTCATGTTTGTTTTGAAGGAAACGAAGATACATTTTATTGAGGACATTGACTTCAATATTTTATATTAAAAGTCTTCAGAAGAATTAATACAATGAAACACTTACTGTCCTCACAGCAAAATCCAAACTGAGAAGTTAATTGGTAGCTAATTCAGAAGAGGAAAATGTTTCCCCTGGTTCTGTGCTGGGTGGGGGCCAAGGGGACACAGGAGGCTTCTTCTCCTTGGGGTGGAAGCTGTTGCTTCGTAAAACCTTTGGAGCAGCAGTGGGAAACTGAGCGAGCCATGAAGCTGGTCTTAACAAGCTCCTGTTTTAATACATGGTTGAGTTCTTTCCTATCTGAACTAAGAAAAGAAAGTGCAACCTAAGCAGGGGGTCTTTTGGCTGTGAGGTCATAGGTCAGCTGGGGGGTTTAGGCAAAAAAGCAGAGGGATGAAAATTTACTCTTTGGCAAAGAGCAGTTGTAGAGAGAGAAGTGAAGGGTGTTTTGTGCTGATGGGAAAGAAGTTAGCATGTGCATAATGGCATCCTTCAAAACACACAAATACTGTGACTGGTGAGAAAGTAGCAGCATTATGATACTGTGTAAGTAAAAAAAAACTGGGGAAAATTTGCAGCATTAAATCCTCTCTGGTGTTAATTGGTGTTGGGATAAGTTACTGTATTTGAGAATATTAGCCCAATAGCAGCTTAACCACAGTTTTAGCAGTAACTGTGAAATGCTAAATGTATCTGCATTGCGTAGATAACTCATCTAATACTTCTGCTTCACTGTGCAGAGTGTAAAATGAGCATGCCAGATGTTCACAAAAAAGCTGGGGAAGAGGCAATGTGCAGGCAGCCTGGCCAGCACATTGGAGCTTCAGTGTTTTAGTAAAACTCTAAGTGGGATTAACTGGAAGTTGAGGCCTTTGCTAAATAGGGCAGGGCAGGGATATAAGACAAGGAAGCGGTGAGCAAGACTCTGTTGGTCTGAAAGGGGTGCCTGCAAGAGCACAGGGAAGAATGCTCATGATCAAACATGCAGGAGAAAAAGTCTGGCATAATTCCTCAAGTGCTGGCTCCAGCTCCTTCCATGCCAGCTATGGAGAGTGAATTGAAAGTGACTGACAATTAAAGAGTGAGAGACAGGATAAAACAAAAATATCTCAAAGCTATTAGTTGTCATAAATTAGGATACGTTGACAAGAAAACAAAAATTTCTGTTATTTAAGTAATTCTGACATTTGAAAACAATGACATAACTATTTTTTAAAATTAGTGAGTTGTATCTCTATTTATATGTTACTGTTAATTTCATAAATCTTAAGTCATTGCTGGAAATGCATAGCACACCTTTGTATTTATCAGACCTGAAATGTAAAAGAATTGCAGCTAATGACAGATATGCTTTGCCTAAATTAAAACTTACCAGACACTTACTAGGATGGAAAAGAAAAAGTAATTTTTAAGATGTTTGGTTTCCAGCCCCCTCAGAATAAACCATAAAAAGGGAGAGAATGTAGTATAGCAACTTCAAACCGTAAGTTGTTAAAACCCTGTTTATTTTAGTGACACTTATGTTACTTGGTTACTGAGCAGTGACTGACAAGCAGTTTTTATCCCTGAAGTTAGGGAAATCCTTCCTTAAAGCAGCCTAAATCACCAGCAAAATAGAGAGATGGGTTTATGGCCCCTTTGCTCCTCCACACCTTTCTCTTCCTGTTCCCTGCAGTAGCAATACTCTGGGAAAAGGCGTTTGCAGCCTCCTCCAGCAGGAGTGCACACTTGGGACTCCGGCAGCGGCCAGAGGCCACTTGGGCAAGGTGTGTCCTCCAGGTCCTTGGAGAAGGGAAGTCACTGTGGGAGGCACCAGGCTGAAACCTGGAGATCTAAGGTTAATTGCCAGCCCCATTCCCAGTGCTGCATGTGATCATGTGCCTTCAGTGCCTCTCACAGGTGCAAATTCCCTTCTTCAGCCATGGAGAGGCTCAAAACTTTTCTAAAGGTGACAGCACAGGCAATTACAGCTGCCATCCCAAACTTGACATTTATCTTTTTATCCAAGCAGAGACTTTAGGGAGATGTAGGCCCTCTGCATTTTGCAGGCTTCCAGACTCTGTGTGTCACCGCCCACTCTTCTTCAGCCATGGAGAGGCTCAAAACTTTTCTAAAGGTGACAGCACAGGCAATTACAGCTGCCATCCCAAACTTGACATTTATCTTTTTATCCAAGCAGAGACTTTAGGGAGATGTAGGCCCTCTCTGCATTTTGCAGGCTTCCAGACTGTGTGTGTCACCGCCCACCCTGAGTCCTTGAGTGCTGCAAAGGAAAGGTCATCTCCTGTCACTGAGCCTGGCTTTTGGTAGGTTTTTTTTATTTGGGTCTGGAGGAAGTACGTTTGTTATTTCTGGTATAAGCAATCCAGGTAACAATGAAGTACTGTGTGAATTCAGCTGTAATGAGCTCCCAAGCAAAATATTTTCTCCAGCTTAGTAGACTAATTCCCATACTTCTCTTGTTCCTATCCAGACATTTAGCTCAAGAGCTCGGTGGTTACCAGTGAAAGTTGTTTGCTTGCTCCATTTAATTCTTGAAACAAATACATTGTTCTTACCTTGGAAAACTGATCAAAACAAAGTTTTACAATATATTCAGATGCTCAAGAAGATGATCCTTTGATTTTTTTTTCCCCCCCCATAAGTGAAGAAGAACTAGCATTTAATTCTTGAAACAAATACATTGTTCTTACCTTGGAAAACTGATCAAAACAAAGTTTTACAATATATTCAGATGCTCAAGAAGATGATCCTTTGGGTTTTTTTTTTTCCCCATAAGTGAAGAACTAATTCTATATCAGAAGTGGAACTGAGTTTTAGTGAATGTGACTCAAGGCCTTGGAACAGGTAACTTTCTTACATTTAAAATGAAAATATTACATTAAGCACATACAGCTGCTAAACCTTCAGAGGGTGGTGGAGGAGGAGGATAATGAGAGGTAGAACCTTGGATGACACTTTGAGGAAAACACAGAGTTTTGTTCATGGCTAACGGCACCCAGGCTAAGGGTAGGTTCCCTGTTTTTCACACACTCCTTTGGTTTTTTTCTGCTTGAGTTCATAGTTTGCCTGAGAGCCATCCAGCAGGGGGTCTGCCTGTTCCTTCGAGAATAGGTCACAGCATCCTTATGTCTGCGTGTTTTCAAGATTAAGAGCAGTTTGTTCTGAGGCTATTTTAATCCTGCCAGCTTCTGTCATCTGTCATGAGCAAGAGTGTGTCAAAACCCTCAGCTCTCCTGAGCATGCCAGGAGCCCTCTGGCAGTACCTAAAATGTACCACGGGAGTGGACAATTACCACGGCAGGGATCTTTCTCTTTAGACTGGCCACAGCTCCAAAAATATCCAGATTGTATAGAAAGGTGATCTGCTTAACAGAAACAAAGATTCCCCCTTTTCCTGCTCTGGAGAGAAGGAAGAACATGCTTTGCATATTTTTTAAACTCCTTGTTTATTTTGTCAAATGCTGTAACAAAGCAGCAGGTGTGCTCTCAGCCAGTGTGAATTTTCTCTCTAGACAACAGATCCTCATCTCTCCTGTTAATGGCAAATGGCTTGTGATTACTCTGGTGCTCTCATTGTGTGTGCTTTTATCCATTACACATCTTGGTCTTCAATCCTGCATATACATGCATGGCAGGTCTTTGGAGTTCACTTACAAGTCTTACAGCTCTAGCTGATATTCATGCTTTCTGTCATCCAGGTCAAGAGTTCTTACCACCTTCACCTTTACCAGGTGGCCACAGTGAGAGATCTTTCTCCACCATGTCATCACTGTGACACTGCACAGATGCTGTGGGAACTGGATGAGAGATGCAGCCCACCTGCCCTGCCATTGCTCTTTGTTATGTTACTTAAGCAATTAAAGGGAAGCTAATACCCCTCCCTTTCAGGAAATGTTCAGGCTCTGGCAGAGATAGTGGCAATATCTCTGAAGATGAAAAGCCAATAGCAGGTTTATTACTGGACTGATACATTTCCACAAATGGCTGTTGCAGGAGTCCTTCACGGAGCAAATACAGAGCAAAAAAATTCTGACAGCCTGTTCCTCAAAATATAGAGGAAAGTACCCTATTCAGACCCCCCAAAGAAATCTGGAGCTACCAGTGATTGTTACATGCTGTGCTTAAAATGCTTTAATCCAGTATTTAAAGCCCTTGAGGGCTGTCCTGAGGCAGCACTGGGAGGCCATGACAGAACTTGTTTGACTCAGTTTCTTAGCTCTGATAGTATCCCAGTATTGTATTCTTCCATTACTGCCTACTGAGACTCCCAGGTGAATAAAAAGAGCTCAGCCTTTTCTTCCTAAACCTCACAAGGTCCCCTTGAACCAGGACCATAGAGGGCTTCGTAAACCCACTAACAAGCACAATGGCCCTCTCCTTCCCAAAAGCCAGTCAGCATTAATTTCTACTCAGAAATTTCACTATCACCATTCATCCTTCTACTGGGGACACCATACCTCAGTCTGTACATGTCTCTCACCCACACCTGAGCTCTGCAAGAGACTTATCTCGAGAGCACCTAAGTGGGTCACAGAGTGGCCACCTACCAGATGGCCAGGAAGCTGCTCCCTCGGAGCAGGGCTGGGTTCCAGCAGAGCGAGGGATGCCCCCGCGCATGGCTGTGTGAACACACTCGTGCAGCCACACTCCCTTGCTTCAGGAATGCTGTGAGATGCCACAAACCACAGCTCTGTGTGAAGTCACAAACTCCTGGTATGGCACCAAACCGGAAAAAAATTCAGAGGGGTTTAGATAATTATATAGCAGCAGTATGGTCCCTCTACTGCCAGCCTCGTGTGGGATCCATGCTAATTGGAATACAGCCACCATACGAGGAGGAGCCCATGCACTCCCTCCCTTCCCCCACCAGCCCTTCAGTTGCTTTCAGCGCTGTAATCTTCCCGGGTTTGTTCTGGAACTAGAGAAGGATAGTTGTACTGGGTAAATAATGGACCTTTCAAGGCAGTAAGTACCTATAAAAACAAGATCATTCCTGAAAACTTCTCTTCATTGTCTGCAAGAATCTGCTGAAAAAACGGTTG